CATATGTGTAATTGAGGGCACAGTTCAGACGGAATAAAAAGATAAGTTGTCTCTCGCCATTGACTACCATTCATATTTTTTCCGAAATAAGGTCCCATGAGCCGGAAGCGGAGGGGCGTGACTTAGGCTCTCTATTGGTATACTCTATATTATACCTGCAGCACCAACTATACGCCAAATTCGCCAAATGAACGTCCTCATCGTGCGAACATTTTATCGTCGCCGGCAGGAAAGGAGAAGACTGTAGTTGACTTCTCATTATGTCATCAGACCATACTTCAATTAAAAGCCTCGTCTCCTCATCTCCCTATGTGCAAAACGGCCCATTTCTCGTGCCACCTTCTGTTTTTTCGGCTTTTTGGAAACCACCAGAACTTCCTGTAAAAGGTTTGGAAGTCCGAACCACAGAAATGTTTTCACGCTATAAACGAACCCAATCTTTGCTCAGTTTGATCCGGACCGAGACTACCTCTTTTCATCGGACCAAATTTCATCTGTTTGGTCCGGACCGTGATCCGGAGGAGGTTTCATACCTAAAATTTTGATTCGGACCAAACTGAAAAGTCAGAAAGTCCGGACCAAACAAGGTGGGTGTGAAAGTCGCAGGGGTTCCCTCGTTTGAAAAGCTATGCATTTTCCCCATAGTCATCGACTTTTGGAAAATCGCAAAAAATAAGATCTGTGTTTAACAAAGAGTTGTGACGTTACACGTTTACACGTTTTGTCTATCAAAATAATCTTTATCTTAAGTTAATCCAAAATGTATACATTTTGAAGCCTATATAAAGTTTAAAAAATACACAATAAAGTTTAAAAAAACACAAGCGGGTTATAACTGATGTGTTTTAAGTCATAGATCAAAACGTGAAAATATTTAGAGGCTTTGTTCACCACAGACCTTATTTCAGGCGATTTAGCAAAAACCCAGCGAGGGAAGCGGAAGTGCTAAAATGCTAACTCACTTCCGCGTTTTGGCCTACAAAGTGACATCATAACTTCGGTACTCTATAATGCTGCATTTATTTGATCAAAAATACAGTAAAAACAGGAATATTGTGAAATATTAGCATTCAAAAGAACTGTTTTCTATGTGAATACATTTTTAAATGTAAATTATGTCATTTTCAGCATCATTACTCCAGTCTTCAGTGTCACATGATCCTTCAGAAATCATTCTAATATGCAGATGTTCTGCTCAAGAAATATTTCTATCATTGTTGAAAACGGTTGTGTGCTGCTTCGTATCTTTGTCTGAACTTTTTTTTCAGGATTTGGAACAGCAGAACAGCATTTATTATTTGACATAAATCTTTACGTAATGGATATATCTGACTAAGGTGTCAAAGATCAGAATTGAAAATGAAAATCAGATCTTGGGCCACATTTATCTGTAATATAGTTCTGATCTAGTGTGGGTGGGTAAAGGGCCAAATTTCACATTTATACCACCTCTAAAAATAATAATACAGCCCGAGTGCCACATAGCTGAGTGATACCCTTATATACTCACTTGGGAAACTGGGTGGACCTAAATGACCTTTGCAGTCAACTGAAACACACTGCACTCCAAGATTCAACAAGGCATGTTGTGAGTAGCTGTAGTGTCAATACTGCCCCTGCCAAACATCCTCACCATAACTTTGGCCAACCTCACACAGCATGCCGAGTTCCGAGATTTGACTTGTGAGAGAGCGTTTGGACTTGTTTGCCAGTGTTTTGCTGTTTATGATGCCCTGGGGCGATTGTTTTGAGAGCTTTAAACTAATGCAAATTTAATTTGAAGTCAACCAATTAAATAAGTATTAGGGTCAGTGCTAACCTTTCTTCACCTCATGCCAACGGTTCGAAAGGGAATGTAGATTCTTGGCGTTTCTCGACCTCTCCAAGTTTCCTTTTTAGTGCGAAACATTCAAGATAGCCATTAATGCTGTTCGCGTCAATCCTACATGACTAAGAACAAAGCTATGCTCTTGCTCAACCAATAGCAATACAAAGCACCTGCTAAAATGTACATTGAATGCTCCTTTAGATAAGAGATTACCAAAATAATTATTGTACTGTAAATGTTTATGGGTTAGCAATCCATACCCAAGGTGAAATAGATCTTGGCTCTGGGAAAGAAAAAAAGGGAAATTGAATGATATTAAATGTAACAGTGATGCATTTCATTTGACCACAATAGTGTGCAAAGATACCCAAATAATAGGCAAAATCAACATGAAGTATTTTTTTGTTGTTTTTTGGGGGGTTCTAACAATAAAAATATTGGGGTCAGTCCGATTTTTTCTTTAAATAAACCAATGCTTTTATTAAAGGAGTAGTTCACTTTTAATTTAATCACCCCCATGTCGTCCAAGATGCCCATGTCTTTCTTTCTTCAATTTATCAATTTTTTGATCAGGTTTTTGATCAGGATTTTCTCCATATAAAGGACTTCAATGGGTACCAAATGGTTAGAGGTCCAAATGAGAGTTTCAGTGCAGCTTCAAAGGGCTTTAAACAACAGCAGACGATGAATAAGGGTCTTATCAAGCAAAAACGATCGGTCATTTAAAAAATAATTAAAAAAGTTTAAGTTTTATAAGCACAAATGCTCGCCTTGCTCTCTTCTGCAATGAGCATTCGTGACTCTCCTGTTCAAACTCGTTCATCAAAATGAGCAAATATTTTTTCAAGTCATGACTCGAAGGGTCCTAGATAAGACCCTTATTCATCGTCTGGTGTCATTTAAAGCCCTTTGAAGCTGCACTGAAACTCTCATTTGGACCTTGAACCGTTTGGTTCCCATTGAAGTCCATTATATGGAGAAAAATCCTGGAATGTTTTCATCAAAAACCTTAATTTCTTTTCGACTGAAGAAAGAAAGACGTGGACATCTTGGATGACATTTGAATAAATCATCAGCAAAAGTTTTTTAAAAGTGAACTTCTCCTTTAAGCAAGTGACGGAAAAGACACTTATAATGTTACAAAAAAAAAATCAATTTCAAATAAATGCTGTTCTTTTGAACTTTCTATTCATCAAAGAATCCTGAAAAATATATCACAGTTTTCACAAAAAATATTAAGCAGCGCATCAGCTACAAATAAATAATAATAATGTTTTCTTGAGCAGTAATATTGTAGTAATAATTCACAAAATTACTGTTTTTTTACTGTGTATTTTTACTGTATTTGATCAAATAAATGCAGCCTTTGTTTTAAGGAATTTATCAAAATAAAATCTTATCGACCCCAAACTCATACATTTGACTGTATTTTCAAATGGAACAGGACATTCAACAGAAATAATTTTTGGATCTGATTTGATCAATTGGGAATGGATAAGATTGTGACTGAAAACTGTTTCTTACTATCAAAAATAATACAAGTGCTTGTATATGAGGGTTTGAAAAGGCATTCATAACATCCTTTGAAAAGGAAAAATGCTGGGTTGTTTTAACCCAACTTTGGGTCAAATATGCACAAACCCAGCCATTTTTTTAATTATATTTTTAACCCAATGTTTGGGTTTGTCCATATTTGACCCAAAGTTGGGTTAAAACAACCCAGCATTTTGCGAAACAAACTACTGCATTTAGATTTCATTTCAAAAAAGAACTTTTTAAAGAAATATTTGTGCACCAGAAATGAATTTTGCAGAATTAGAAACCAGGAATGTGCATTACAATTAATAATGTAGGCTAAATCAGGTTTATTTTGTAGACCGTAAAGCAAGGGCATGGGTTCAATTCCCAGGGAATGCATGAATTGTATATTGAATGTATTGTACATCATTAAGCCGCTCGGACACATGCAATCAATTTTATAATTTGCGCACATCACATATACAACATTACATTTAAAACAGCTTCAGAACAAGTTTATCCAGCTGTAGTTTGTTATGCTAATTTGTTAACACAGCTGTCAAGAACAAGATGTTCAGCGCTAACACTTGTTTGATTGTTTACATCAGCTGTGACAAAAATAGTCCATTTTAAAGCATTTCTAGAATCAAATCGCCAACCTTTGAACTCAGGAAATCTTTGCTTGTGGGCACACCTCCACCCTACCTCTCTACGCCGTACCCCGCAACTCTTTATGGTGGGGGTTTATTTTTCTAAGTCTAAACTTTACACACAGGCCAGCTAATTAGGCCCGGGTTTGTTGTTTCACCTCCATCTGTGTCACATGAGTGAAATATAATGATATGTGCTGACCCTTCAACTTCGCATGTGCTGAGTTCTGTCTTTTTATGATATGTGCAACTAGACTTTATGGAAAAGGTCACGTTTTTATCTTCAAATTCCGTTATCTCAGATGACAAAACATGATTGGTTTGGGATCTTTGTAGTTGATTTTGGCTTCAGGGTGTCTAAATAAAAGCCACATTTTTAGACAAGTACTTCAGTCAAGTTAAAAAACATTGACGTACACTTAGGACAAGTCAACATTTGTGAAAACGTGATGTTCCCTTAAAGCGGACCAAGCTGTAGCAACAGCCTTTTCATGCTTTTATGGCTTGTAACCGACTGTGGACACCATACAGTATATTTACATATTTCCTAGTTCCTGTGTGGCCTTGCAATCCTTATAGCCCAAATGATGCGTCTCTGGGTGATTCAAGTTAAATACTGGAGAAAGAAATACATACTTGTATATAATAACATAATATAGAATATAGAAGGCTATTAACATGTGTCACCTCACTGAACTCAGTGCATTATTGTGAACGTTTGAGTAATGGACTAATTCTGCAAAGAAAGTGCACACTTGAAACTTTTGTATTGACATTTGCTGTGCATGATTGGTCAATATTTTCCTTGCCTTGTTTCCAAAACTTGTCGCCAGTCGGTCCTTCATGCCAAATTGACATACTGACAACGCACACACACACTTGACACACTTCGACTCTCGCTCACACACACACCCCACACCCACGACGTGCCTAAGCGGGATGGTCGTTGCACATGAACCCACACTCCTTATTTATAGCTCTCTTTCCCATGGTTTTTCTCACAGGAACGGGAGCAGAGCAGGAATCAAACGTTTCCTCTCCTGTCTTCATCAATCACTCCTTATTAATCCAAACATGCTGGAGAAGGCAGCCCTCGCTTCACTTGAGGAAAAAGGCCCGCTTTGTTTTCTGTTCTCATTGAGTCAAGCCGGGTTTGAAATGAACCCTCTCAAGGAATCAATGGGTTAAGAGCATAGACTGTAAAATAAGATAAGCTATAACTGTATCTGTGAGAGAAATGTGCCGGCAGGTGAGCGATTCACAGATGAAATTGTACACAAATGATCAGACTTACCATTTAAAATAAAATTTACAATAATATGAGTTATGATTACCTTTAGATGTTATTTCATTTAAAGTTGAGAACTTGTGTTTTGAGATGTATCAGGGAAGCCAATTCTGAGTAAATATTAAAATAAGTAACTGCGAAATAAAGTTAAAAATGTCACAATTATGAGAAATAAAGCTGCAAATGTGAAATGTCGCAATACAAGTTATACGAATTCACATTTTGAGATTTAAAGTTGCAATGTCAGTAGGCAAAGGTGCAGATGTGAGAAATAGTCACATTGTGAGATATGAAGTCACATCTACACTGTAAAAAAATATTGATGGTTTAACTTGAAAAAGTAAGTAACCTGGTTGCCTTAAAATGTTAAGTTCATTGAACTGGAAAAAGTGAGTTAATACAATGAAGGAGATTAATTTAACCATCAGAAACTCAAAATTATATGTTATCTGAACTAAATAAATTATTTAAGTTGATTTGACAAAAGAAAAAATGTTGTGATTACTACACTGTAAAAAATATTGTTGGTTTAACTTAAAAAAGTAAGTAACCTGGGTTGCCTTAAAATTTTAAGTTGATTGAACTGGAAAAAGTGAGTTAATACAATGAAGGAGATTAATTTAACCATCAGAAACTCAAAATAATAAGTTATCTCAACTAAATAAATTATTATAAAGTTGATTTGACAAAAGAAAATATGTTGTGATAACAAATCTTGAAAATATTTTTTACAGTGAGGGAAGCCAATTCTGAGTGAATAATAAAATAAGTAACTGCGAAATAAAGTTAAAAATGTCACAATTATGAGAAATAAAGCTGCAAATGTGAAGTCACAATTCTGAGTTATACAAATTCACATTTTGAGATTTAAAGTTGCAATGTCAGTAGGCAAAGGTGCAGATGTGAGAAATAGTCACATTGTGAGATATGAAGTCACATCTAGGAGAAATCAAGTAATAGGTGCAAGAAATAAAGCCATGAAATAGGAACAAAGATGCAAATGTAAGACATTAAGTTGCAAATGTGAGACCAATGCAATTAAGATTAAGTTGCAGAGATATGAAGTCACATTGCGAGATTTAAAGGCGAGAAATACTCATTAATCAAACAAATACGGTCACAATTATGAGACATAAAGTCACAAATGCAATGAATAAAGTAAAAAAAATGTGAGAAAGAGACGCAAACAAGATCAAGTTGCAATTGTAAAATACAAAGGCACATTTTGAGAAGTGGAAGTCGCAATTACGTGAAATAAAGGCGCAAACGTGTGACTGTCACAACTTGATATGCAAATTCACATTTTGAGATCGTCTCAATCAGTCTTAAAGGGGTGGTAAAATGCTATTTTCACAAGATGCTAAATAAATCTCTGATGTCCCCAGAGTGTGTGTGTGAAGTTTTAGCACAAAATACCCCACCAATATTTTCATATAGCATGTTAAAGTTGTCACTTTTTGAGGGTTTGCAAAAACGCACCGTTTTGTGTCTGGCCCTTTAAATGCAAATGAGCTTCTGCAGAGGGCGGGGTTTCTGCGATTTCCTCACTGAAATGACAGAAACTGTTCTCCCTTTAAAGTTAAAACGGAGTCAGTAAACACAACTCAAACAGCAACATTACACACTAACTAAAGTTAGAAAAGTGAAATCATACTTTACCAGCCTTTTAAAATCGTCACAATTACTTTTATATATACAGTATATATTTACTCTGGAGCATAAAGGTGCTTCATTGTTTGCTGACACGACCTTGAGTGAGTGAATGAAGCACTCCTTCTTTCATTATAAACTGTATGTAGGTCACAAGTCGTAAAAATGAGTTTTTAGTCTGCGCATTACAGACAAAGAACCAAATATGTTGTACTTACACACATCATGTCCCGTATGAATTCACCCAACTGCTTGCTTATTTTTTCAGGGATGGGTGACATAGGGATGAACAACATTTAGGCAGTTCCTCAAGAGGCCAGCTATAATACTACCGTGCTGTACAGTCCACCTCACCTCCTCCACTGTTTCCTGAAGGTATAAAGGTGAAAGCAGTGAAAGCTAGACAAATATTTCACTGGCAATAACGGTGACATTCTCCTTCCTGAGTTTGGAGTGTAGAAACAGAGGGACTTGTGACATTGAAGTTAAAGCTCCACAGCTATGAGGAAGAACTTCTCATCTAGCATAAACAATCATTCGGAAAGCTACGCAAAGACAACTCAAACATTACCTCATCGACTCCCTGCTGTGAAAACATCCCTAGTTCAAAGCGCCGGAGTGTTTTACGTGTGTGCCATACAAAGAAGGTGGGGCTCTGTGTATTATTTTTCCTAAATCGTTCATGCAGAAGGGGCATTACATATTTTTGTGATTTTTGGATGGAGCCAGGCAGGAAGTTGCTTCGATGCCCGGGTGACTTTGAACAATTTGTGGACGCAGCAATGCGTAGTCTTGCTTATTTTGTGGCCCGGGAGCTGTGAAGCCAGGTACTTATTCAACATAAATCTTTAGTACAGACTACAGCCAGTCATTAGTCATGTCGACTGATGCGATTTCTCTGTTTAGCAGCCAGTCAGGCGCATGCCACTGTCTGACATCATCAAGCTGTTCACCTGTCGCTGCCAAAACACTAAACATCCCTCTGCAATGCAGTTCAGTTCAGAGGGTCCACAGCTTATAGAAAAACAACTTAGCTACCACAAAAATACCACGATATGATTTCCGTTTACTAACTTTTGCTATCATCGCTATGAAACCAGTTTTTTTATATACTTGCTAATAATAATAATAATAATATATTATACAATAAACACAAAAAGTACCAAATGTACCATTGAACTACAGTTTTGGACAAGTACCATTTTAATATATTTTAGTATTTCTTTAACCCCCGGTTTCACAGACAAGACTTAAACTAGTCCCTGACTAAAATGCTTGAGCTGTTTTAACTGAAAGCAATGCACTCATATCTTAAAATGCAAAATTTCATAATGCACACCAGTAATGTTTATAAGCCACATTTATAAAAGCTATATATAAATGTCCTAATTGAACCAATCCCTGTCTGTGAAACTGGGTCTTAAGTAACTTTTTTTTTTGTCTTGGAAAAAAGAACATTACTGGTTGTGTATCTTGAGATAAAACAATTGCACTGACATATTAAGATATGTCAATGCAAGTTGCTTTCAGCTAAAACAGCTGAACAATGCATTTTAGTCTGGGACTAGTTTAAGCCTTATCCGTGAAACAGTCTTGGAGTACCATGTAAATACCATAAAATGATGTACCATGGTTTCACCATCTAAAATTATTGTATTGTAAGTGTAGTTAGCTCATCTAATTACTATAAAACTTGATTAAAATCTGTGTTGTGACTTTTTTTTTCCCAAGGTATGCCTGGTCAAGCAACACAAGTGGTGGAAAGGGAAAACTAAATTGATTTATTGGATTGGAAAAAATGATGGCAAAGCTTACTTTGTGAGGGGTTACTGCCAACAAACTTACAATAACAAACCCCTCAGATGGTTCCTCACCCAGCGGAACTATATTCCACAGCGCTGAAATCCACAGCTCTGATTTCCACACGGACCATTTTAGGAGCGGGACATATTCTTTGACATTGCTGTAAAGGGGGAGGGACAAAAACAAACTGTTACAAAACGTGTTAGAAAGTATCAATCACTGATTTCTGCTTTATAGTTACAATAATACTCAATTATTGTGATTTTAGCAGAACCATGTATCGGCGACCGCTGCAGTCCGCCGTTAGACAGTTATTAAACGCTTCAGCATCGAGAGCTGTCCTCGGAAAGGTAATTTATTGAAACTTATACATACAAAAATACAGTAAAGTCTCCTAGGCGGTTTATATTGCGGTCCTTTAAAACGTTGTCTTCATATTACGTTATAAGACTGACATTATAATGTTGTTTGGAGTTATTTACATTATTACATAATGATGGACATCAGTAAATCTGACCTGCACCAGACGTGACATCATGCAAACATTGAAAATATTCCAATATATGTGTAAGATTATAAAAACACATCTTGTAATTATTATTATTGTTATTATCATCAGTGCATTGTGCCATAAATCTTTCAAACCAAATTCATATTACCTAACTTACTAGTAATGTTCCAGTTTAGAACATTTGCATACAGTAGATCTACTGCTCTTGATCTGTTGGTTTATCAGTCATATTAAGACAATTAAGTGATAAGCAGTAGTCAGTAGTCTAGTTTTTTTTTTTTTTTTTTCAAACTAGATAGAAAATGGAAAGCACTTGTCAAGAAATTTTTGCTTCCTAGGTCATTGTACAACCTACGTGTCAGTCCAGGGCTTTGGTGGCTTGCCGGATAACTGCGAATGCTTGGGTCCCCAATTTCTCTCAATGTCGATCTCTTCACATCACTAGAGAGGTGTGTGTGCTGCATTTTCTTATCTCAGTTGTCCAGTTATTTCTCAAGCTAAGGAATCCAGTTTCAAATCAGCCAAAGGGATCCATTCTGATCTCTGGAAACTTTTTATAAGCAATAGAATCTCAATTCATGTGTAGGTGGAATAATAAAACTAAGCACATAATTTTATTACAGTAACAAAACGAGAGTTTCCATTGCGGAAAATGATTTGTACTACAAAAATAAAATGTCCAGAGACATTTATTTTACATTTATGAGAAATTGGGTTGTAATTTTTTTTTTTTAATCGCAAAAGAATAGACTATTCAGAGTCATTGTTACAGTGTAAACTGTTTCTTGACACTTTTTACCTGTTCTTGAATCAGTGGTGTCATAAACATGAAATAGAGTACCAGTCAAACTTTGCACACATACACTTTTTGTTTATTAGTACCATTTATTTATTATTATAATATCATAATGATAGTTATCAAAAATACAAAATCACACAAATGGAAGTAATATGGGAATGTTGCTAAAAATGTAGACAAATCAAAACTGATCATTTTAGCTTTAAAAAAAATGTCTAAATAGGCAGAGTTTTTCTTTT